GTGTGTGTGTGTGTGTGTGTGTGTGTGTGTGTGTGTGTGTGTGTGTGGGGAATCCTGAAAAGGAAGATGTGTGAAAGACAATGTTGTCTTCACTTTGTACTCGTCTTAAGTATAGTGTCCTTTGGGAAATGTTAAGTCTTTTTTTTTTTTTTCTGCTTCTATTCCTCAGCCGGTTACCACGGAGACAAGGTTCGGTCCTGTACTGTACAACAGGCATTATTCTTCAGTGGCTTCGCACAGACCCGTAAGTCCCCCCCCCCCCCCCAGCCCTGCTTCCTCTTCCTCATCACATCTTCTCCCTGCATTTCTTCTTCTCTGCTTCTCCTCTTTGTGTCTTTGTTGCAACTGTCCTTCCTCCAGTCTCTTATTCCATCTGCGTCACTCTGTTTTATTCCTATTGGTTTGGGGTTGACTGTCTGTTGTCTGTGGAAGGCGCATTAGTATGGGTCCTCATCCTCAAAGGCAGAGAAATTAAGACACACACACACACACGCAGAGCTTCTGTTGACTCATCCTTGCATTCTGAGTGTCTTCAGAAAAAAAGCCACAGAGAGTGCCAGCTTCTCTTGTTGTCTTGCTTCATGGTCTTTTCAGAGTTGGCACAGCTCTAGTGAGTCATTTTAGGACTACAGTCGTCTGGCAAAATGCTGCAACTCTTTGGCATTAAGCTGTATTTAAGCAGCAGCTTGCTTTCAAGCTGAAAGTTGTATGGACTTGCAGCTATGTTTACACTTGTCAGTTTTTTGTCTCCAGCCATCAAGTGATGAATTTGTATTTTAAGTCCCACAGAGCCTTTTGATTCGTCATTAAACTACTGCCGTACAGATGAGCACAGCACCCAATTCTAGTTGCAAAGATCACATATCTAAATATGTAGGATACCATTTTTAGATGGCAAAAGATTAGATGCAGCATTTGGAAAGTGAGTAAAAAAATGGCATCTAATTATAGCTACTGAATGTAAAAATAAGAGAAATCATGCAGCACATTATGAAAAAAGAAACATTTTGAAAATAAAAAGGATCTTCTTGGTTTTTTTTCAGGCCTAATGAGGACACTGCATTCCAAATCGCATACTTTTTTTTTTTTTACTTTTAGTACATACTGCAGCTGCCCTTACTAAGTATGTTTTGTTGCATGCCGTATGCCTTAAATTGGGACATACTACTTCGTCATAACAATGCACCTTGAACTATGACCCTCTTGCTCATATATCCGCTGATTGTGGGTCAGAATAGCCAGAAAAGCATGCTGGCTTGCATACTGAAAAATGCAACTCATACTATGTATTGGGACATACTAAATCTTATTTCTGGCATACTAAACGGTATCGTCGTATGGGTATTGAAATGCAAGCGACTCAAACTAAAATCCGCCACCGACTAAAACATTGTCCTTTATTCATTGTGTATGTGTCAGATTGTTGTCCAGCATCAGCCACCTGGTGTTGGACGAGATCCACGAGAGGAACCTGCAATCTGACGTTTTGCTCGTCATTGTGAAGGACATACTCACCCTTCGAGATGACCTCAAGATCATCCTCATGAGTGCCACGCTCAACGCAGAGAAGTTCTCTAGATATTTTGGTATGACATGCCGAAGTTTGTTCAGCACCGGTCTTGCAGGTTGGTTGTTTTGGATTGTTCCTCCCTCTCATCTACCCGTTTCCCTGCGTCAAACCTTTAGACAACTGTCCGATGATCCACATCCCTGGTTTGACGTTCCCGGTTGAGGAGTTCCTACTTGAGGACGTTGTGGAGATGACCAGGTAGAACGACACTGCTCCCAGACGCACTCATGCAAAGACAGTCGCACACTAACATGCACACACACACACACACACACAAATGCAAAGATACAAATGGAACCACACCCCTTTTTGTTTTAACGGGGTCTCATATGAAGTGGTTGGTGTGTCTTCCAGGTATCGTCCCCAGAATAAGGACCGTCGCCCCTCAAGGAAGAGAAACTTTTGGCAGGGGCACGCCTCCAGGCCTGAGAAGGAGGAGAAAGAGGCTGAATACAAGGAGAGTTGGCCCACGTATGCACGCACACTGCAGGGCAGGTGAGTTGGTGAGAACAGCTGGGTGGTTAGATTGTTAGAGAAGCTGCCAGGTTGATAGATGTGTTGTGTAGGTGGCGAATGGGAGGATATAAAATGAATATCGCCTTTTCTTTGTGAATTTGAACTTGATGTTTACCTTAGTGTTTAAAAGCTGAATGAGGAGCAGGGTAAGGGCTTTGGAACACTCGACCTTTTGATAGATTTGTTAGGTAAACACTCAATTTATACATCTGCATTACAGTGTTGTACCTCCCAATGTAACTGAATGCATCGGTAACATGGGCTATAAAAACACTGCACCAACTGTAATCTACTACTGAATCTTTGTGGTGGGGTTTTCCATCCTGCAACTGCTTGAGGGGAGAAGCTCAACTCCTCAATAAAAGTCTTCTTGAATTATTACAGCTATTTGCAGTGCAGTCCTTTTTCTTTGCCACCGTCATTACTGCAGTCAGTTAGACAAATCAAGTTTGTTCAAGATACAAGAGATGCATTTGCACCTTTTTAAAGGTACAGTGGAATTATTTGAGCAATGCTCACTGAGTCAGTTTAAAAGGAAAACAAGAAAAAAGGGCACAGAGGTAACACAGTGAATTAAGATGGCAGCATTTATAAGTAAACAATAAATACATATATACACCCTTCATAAACATGGTAAATATCAAGTGTAACAAAGTGTGCACACTATATACAGAAGTCCAAAGTGAGAAATATTGCACAGTCCACATTATAGATTGAGTTTGGTATCTCCAAAGTTAGTATTTTTACTACAAACCCCTATTTGTGCTATTTTGCTGAATTCCAGTGCAATGTGTTACCATGTTAAGGCACCGGAGATGGAGGGTTGTCAGTGTATTCATTGTCTGTGTCCCATGTTTTACAGATACTCTGACAACACCATCGAGACAGTGGAGATGTTGGATGATGACGACAAGATTGACCTGGAGCTGATCGTGGCACTGATTCGCCATATTGTGCTCAATCAGGAGGTGAGTTTAGCTTTGTATGTCTGGTGTCAGGGCAGCCGTATATGAAAGTGGCTAAATTCTAGTTTCTTGAATTACATTGTACTCCATTGAAGAAAATGGGATTCCAGGGAGTTTGCTATGTGGGTCGGAACCGCCTAAGAGCCCTGAGTGCTTGTGTGTGCTCACGGACACTTGACCTGGAGATTTTAAGGAATATTTTTTCTTGGACTTGAAAAGCTCCATATATTTTGATCGTAGACCGGTAGACAAAGCAGTGCTCCACTAGCAACATGGTTTCAGATTAAATAAAAGTGAATAGTTGACGGGTACAGAAACGCATAGACGCACATCACATTCCGAGGTAGAGCAGATGGACGGAGCAGGAGGGCTAGCTTCCAGACACGGAGCGACATTGGATCAGAGGAAATAACCGAGTCTGGCAGCAGATCTGTGCTAATGACTGATCGAACAGATGCTCTCCCGATGCACATCCATTTCCTCATTTTTATTTCATATCAGTGTTCAGTTAAGACTTTGGTTTTGAGTATAATGTCAACTAAGTCAGATCAGACATTTTTCTTTCTTTGTGTGAATGTTTTAGACTGTAGCTTGTTGTGGTTTATTTCTCCATTGATGAGCCGCTTCCTTGACTTTACCTCACGGCTGGCTCAGTGACGGTTCTCTATCTGACTCGTGGTGAGACACCACAGGATCTCACTATTAGGAACTCGGTAACGAACACCCACAGAACACAAGAGAGATTGGATTGTCTTCAGTTCACGCTGATTTATTTTGCATCACAACGTATACAAGTAAACCGAACTGTCAACTCACTTCACAATAGCATTGTACATTACTTTGTACCTCCATTCTGCTCCAAGTCTTCTCCCCTCTTCGGCGATGTCCTCCTCCTCCTCTGAACTTTCACCTCGGACAAGTCATAACAGAGGGTTTCTTGATTAACCACAGTCTCCTTCCCCACTCGTCTTCTCCTGATTCCACCTCTGGCCGCCCGTCACAGCGACCGGCTCTTGTCTTTTCCCTCCGTTAGAAATCTTGCCCTACTTGTTTATCTACATCATCCCCCCCTCTATCTTCACCTGGACTCCATGGCCGCTATACAAGACTCCCCTGTCTCAGTGACGTGAATAACATATGACAATGATACAGGCCAATATCACAGTATGAATGTGAATATACATGGATACGTTTCAAATTATGGATATGATTGATTTTACACAAATATATTTCAAGACACATGTGCAGGCGAAATCAAGGCAGGGCAAAAAAACTGTCTATTTCAGTAAATCCCCTGTTCAAATTGTATTTGTAGCATGTTTCTTATGTTTGTCATCTGTGTCTATAGAGTCACGTAGGTCAGTGTCAACATGTGTGATAACAAAGCTGCACAATGAAACCGATTTATCACAAGCAACACCATTCAGTGTGGGCTTTTGTCCCTATTACAAGGGAGAAAACAACGGTGAGGACGACTTAGGAAATGGAGCGCCTGAGTGGAAGGCAAACAATTGATGCTGCGCTCACTTTTCCTGTATTTTTTCCAGATGCAGTGAAACTAGTTGGACATATTTTGTTAGTTTGTGGTGTACAGGAGAGAGAAACAGGAAAAAGAGACGGGCCCAGAATGAGATGTGACTAACGCGGTCAGACAGAATAATTATCCCTTCCCCTATGAAGCCATATCTCTATCAGTCACGGCCACCCTGAGCCAGTCGACCAGCTGATTCGCCGTGGCAGTGTCCAGCGCTCGACAGGGAACCGCTTGATTCTCCGTGACGGCGTTCTGAACCGAGGATATGGGCCATCTGCCAGGCTTTCCACTGTGATGATTGGTTAATTATGTTGCAGGAGTCCGTGATTAGACACCTAGGGGGTTGACATACAGGCGTTAATGAACGCCTGCTGGGTACAACTCTGTGTGTGTGTGTTAAGTAGTAGCACTACACTACAGAGCTTGCTGTGCCATTACTTGATTTTTAGTTGGAATCGGAGGCGTTTTCTGTACTGCATGTGTGTGAACATGTGTTTCTGTCAGGTTGTAACTAGGCACACAACTCCCTCCTCCTTTATCTTTCACACACACACATGCACGCACATTAACACACACAAATCTAGTCCCAAGTGGGTGCCAGTGAGTGAGCACTGGTGATAATAATTAGCTTTAATTAAAATGACCCAGAAGCTATAGTCTGTTCTTCATCTCCCCTTCCTCTCAGGAAATAAAAAGTCCTTTTTTAAGACTGGGTTATTTTTGTATCGGCTTAATATTATCCTGACTATCATTTTTGTTTAATTTTAGGTCTTTAATGTAGCAAAGTAGCATTTCCAGAAACGTTTCCCTTTTGATATTACATAAAAGTAGGATTTTGCTCCAGTTTCCAAAGAGCTTCTGACATTATTATTTGTCTTTAGTTCAAATCTAAAAACATTAATCGACTCATTGTTTTTTTCTTTAAAAAGCCGCTGATGATGAGATTCGTTAATGATTCCAAAGCCAGGTATCAAAGCGCACTACTTTCTGTGTATTGACTGAAATGTGTCTGTAGCAACTGGCATTCCAATCCTGGTTCGGTTGTGTTTAGTTATTCTTTGGTCAGATATTTCCCATCTTAAATCAGGAAGCTCTGCTAACATTAGATGGTGTTTGAATAATGTAAAAAAAACCTGAATGGCCGCTTGTGGTCACATGACATGAAACACAGATGCATTGAGATATTTGGCATTTTGTTTTAGAGAAAACATTTTATTGTAATCTGTAAATCTCTTTTAGGTATTCTGCGTTATTCTTTGTGTCCTATTTATTTTGCTGCTACAATAATACGATTGCTGCTCATCAATCATCCAAGGTGTCTTTATCCCTTGTATCATTATGTGGTGTTGTTTTTAATGTTTGAGGAGCTGACACCTAATTCACGTTAAGTGGTCATCCATTCCATTGTCAGACAGCTGAATTTGCTCGCGCTGGAATGCTTCCAACTTTATTCGCCTCAGTCATCTGTTTATCCTGCTGATGTTTTCTCAGCTTGCATTTGTGTGCCTCTATATTTTCCAGGTGACTAATTGGTTTTCTTTTCTTTCTTTTGTTTTGCTGCTTTGAGATCCCTGTGGTAATGTGAAGCAGAGGCTGCCCTGTAGTGGGAAGATGTTGTTGTCATTATGATGTTGGCAGGCAATGTCGGGGCCTATTGTGTGGCCGAATGTGGAGGCTTGGAGCTCAGGGCGAGTCAGCTCCATCTTCCTCGGCTCAGCTCCTCGCTCACTTGGCTCGGTTGTTGCTGAGGCTCCTCCGGCTAACGGCAGTTTGTTTCTTGATGTATTTTTTTTGCTGTTTTTACTGTGTGGCTTTCAGCTGCTCAGTGTTGTGTCATGTCTTTGTCTGACAGGATGGAGCAATCTTGGTCTTCCTTCCTGGCTGGGACAACATCAGCGGTCTCAATGACCTGCTCACGGCTCAGCAGATGTTCCGATCAGGTACAAGCGTGGAAATACGTTCGAGCATGATTTTGTTACTAGTCTGGTCTCTGGTCCGATATAACTTACAGAAGTGTGTAGAGCTGAAACAATTAATCCATTGGAAATTAATTGTTTTTTAGAAAATCGATTAATCAGGAACATATTCTTCTGATTCACTGATAATAGAAATAGTTGTTAGTTGCAGCCCTAGTGTGATATGAAAACTTATTGAGAACGGACTTTTCAGTGAAGTAGAAGACTTCTTGTATTCTGTTGTTAAAACTTTTTGAAATTTGTATACATGCATACGAGTAGATACAGTATATATTTAAGCATTTTTAACTAATAAAAAAACCCATTTTTTTTGTATTTTTCAAAAGTCATAAAACATTACTGAAGGGGATTTTTAAATACACTGGATTAAATACATTGTGTTTTTCTGTCCATATTTAATAACAATATAAGTTTTGTTACCAAAGATGAACAAATGGTGATAGATTGTTGCATTCTTGATATTAGCCTGGAATTTCAAGGTTATATCTTTAGACATAATTGTTGAGCGTCACACACTAGCAGTATTATCTTATGTTGTCAAATGGTTCTTTGTTTGAGCTTTTCTTTTGTGTCCTGTTGTGTTTCAGACCGGTTTGTCATCATCCCTTTGCACTCCCTCATGCCTACCGTGAATCAGACGCAGGTTAGCCTTCTTCTGTTTCTCTCTGTACTCGTCTCTCCAGCTGTCTCTGCCAATTGTCCTCTTCAATATCACGAAAGTCTCATCTTATATTTCCCCCATCCTCTTCTCAGGTGTTCAAAAGGCCTCCTCCTGGAGTTAGAAAGATTGTGATTGCTACCAATATAGCTGAGACCAGGTATGTGAATGTGTGCGTGTGTGTGTGTGTATTTGTTTGGGTTGTGCAGCTTTTGTTCTAGTTTTTGGCTGTTACTTTTGGTAAGTGGGAGAAAATGGGAAAATCCATGTGTTCTTGTGTGTACCAGCGTAATGCAGTAGGTCCAAGTCATTAATAGAAACGGCAGATTTGGGGCTAATTAGCATACATATCCTGGAGTGATTGTGGACACTGTCATATTTGCTTGGATGGAGCGCACAAAGTCTCTGTCCGGCAATTTGTTAATGCGTTCACAGAGCATTGTGCAAGCTGCCTGCACTCTCCTCACATCAGTCTCCTAAATATAGACTCTAAACCTACCACAGGGCTATATTTTAGTTTTCTTTACTTCTGAATGATTGCGTGCGAGTCTTGGCTAATAATTCTTCACAGGCTGCTTTGAAGATTTGGTCTTTATTCCAGCCTCTTTTTTTTTTTTTTCTGTCTCTCCCTCTTCTTCTCTCGCTACTCTTCCTCACAGCATCACCATAGATGACGTTGTTTACGTGATAGACGGAGGCAAGATTAAGGAGACCAACTTCGACACCAGCAACAACATCAGCACCATGACGGCAGAGTGGGTCAGCCTGGCCAATGCCAAGCAGAGGAAAGGACGTGCTGGCAGGTATATGTGCGGATACAGCGAGGGCATGCTGTATGTTAGTGCCTCTGGGTATGCAGCGCTTATCTGGAGGCATTATTTTCCCTTCTATTTATCATCTCAGCTTTCTGTCAGTCTTTCCCATCAGCCCACTCCTTCCTGCCTTCCCATCTGTAAACACTGAGAAAGGCAAAGCGTAGTCACTCTCTGGTTGTTTCCAGTCTGTGACTCGAGATGTCTGTTCCGTTAGCTAGCTCTGACATCAAAGTGGAGCGAGGCCCAATTAGCAGGAGCTGCTTACCGAGGGACGTTTCATCCCGTTGATTTCAAATGAAGCTCTTGTCACCGGACTGATGTAACACGCAACCTCTTTTTTTTTTTTTTTTTTTTTTTCTCTCCCCTCTCTGTCCCACTCTCTTCTTCTGTGCATATATCCAGAGTGTGTCCAGGGAAGTGCTATCATCTGTACAATGGTCTCAGGGCCAGCCTGCTGGATGCTTATCAATTACCCGAAATCATGAGGACACCACTGGAGGAGCTCTGTCTGCAGATCAAGGTTGTCTATGTGGACAGACAAATAGGTGTTGTCTGGGGAGTTGAGATGAGGACGTGAATGAGTTTAGTGAGCGCAGAGAAGGGGAACGAGGACAGCGCTGCTGTTTTTGATCTTGCGTTAAATTACAGCCTCTTTCCTGCCTAATGAGAACGAGGGATGAACATTCTGGGCTGACTCATTGCCCCTTTTGCTCTCGAGCTCTTTTCGCTCCATTTTTGCCAAAAACATAATCGCTCCTCTTCTGAGCCTCATTCTCGTACATGAACGGGCGCTTTCTTCTTTGGTTGCTTGCTATTTTTTGTCCCCCCTCCTCTTTTTTTAAGTCCTCATACTCCACACAGACATATTTCAACCCATGCTAATGGAACATTAAGCCAAAGTTCACTCAGATCTAGTGTTTGCAATGATTGTTCTCACCAGTATTTTTTATTGGATATGCATTTGAGTGTGTCTTCCACTACTTCAGTTGGATGTTTTTGAAGCTAGTGGGTGAGAGGAGCACTAATGCATCAGGGCGTCCTTAAAGTGAGAGAAACACTGACAACATGCTAACCTTGAGCAGACGCTCTAATGCACAAGCACTCCAACGCCAACCTATGAGTCAGACATAGAAATGTGGTCGCTTCTTTACTCCTCGGTTTCTCACAGATAGATGTTTGATGTATTTAAAAAATCAATTATTTGATATGAAGGTAAAGACATATTTAGAGAATCACCGTTTGTCATCATTATATTAATTCTGTGCTCGGCCGCGTAATGATGGAGCTAATGGTAACATGGTTAACTCAATAATGGCAAACCATGAGAAGACGCGCATAAAGCTAAGTGCAGTCGACCTTACCATAGCTATATACTGTACTGCCCACAGTGCTACAAATGACAAGCAGTTAGACAAAGAAAAGAGAATTTAATACAAAAAGAGTTTTGCTGATAACTGTAATGTGATTGTGATGTGTGCTGCCTAGATTTTGAAGCTTGGGTCAATAGCTGAATTCCTGGAGAAATCCCTGGACCCTCCCACTACAAACGCCATCAGCCTCGCCATCAAGAACCTCGTAGACCTGGTAAGAAAGAGTGAAGATCATTCCTTTATGTTTAAAGACTAATCAGAAACAACAAGCAGCTGCAACTAACCAGTTAATCTGACTCATTGTTTCTGCGTTAATCAATACTCGGCAAAGACAATGTACCAAAGTAATTTGGAAACGGCAGCATTTCAGCAAGAGAGACTATCTCTGACCTGAGCATGTGGTTTCAAGGTCTCCTGTCTGGAATTATTATGTATAAATCTGCTAGTACCAAGGATGCTTGTCCTCTAGTGGAGGAGGCAGGTTGGAAAAGAAATGAGGACTAAATGAGAAATCAGTACTCATTAAAAGGGTTTAAGAAGATAAAGCATGGTAATTAATTCATGCTAACAAGGTTAAAACAAATGTAAGAAAGAGGTATGTGACGGTAACAAAAGTCAAAGCAGATGCTCCTGAGAGCCTTAATAAGCCTTAATTAATAAATCTTTTCTGCCTGCTTTATATTTTGGGATATTATTTCCCTCTCAACAACCCGTGTCGAGCTGTAGATGACTAAATATGTGTGCTTCTCTTCTGGGTTTTGTGACTGTGTTGTGTGCTAGAACGCCCTGGACCGCTCAGAGAATCTGACAGCGCTGGGTTTCCACCTGGCTCGCCTGCCTGTGGAGCCTCACATTGGCAAACTCATTCTGTTTGGAGCTCTGTTGGGCTGCCTCGACCCTGTACTCACCATTGCTGCTTCACTCAGCTTCAAAGACCCTTTCTTCATACCGCTGGTAGGGCACCGAGCTCACAGACATGAAAGCTTGTGTCAGCAGCGACACACGAGCACACTTCAACACATTGCTGCACGCTGCCGTCTTCTTCTTCTTCTTTCATTGCAAAGTAGGTCTTAATATTAAATGCATGTGTCTGTCTCAGGGTAAAGAGAAGATGGCAGACATGAGGAGAAGGACCCTGTCCAGAAACTCCAAGAGTGACCACCTCACTATTGTCAATGCCTTCCAGGTAAGACAGCCCACATCTGTCACATCGGTCTTTCATCTCTGTCTGGTGTATACACTGATTCTGTTTTAATTCACCCTGTGATTGACCAGGGCTGGGAGGAGGCCAAACACTGTGGTGCCAGGTATGAGCGGGAGTACTGCTGGGACAACTTCCTGTCTGCCAATACACTCCAGGTGAGCTGATTAGTGGTGTTGTGCTGAGCTCTATATTGATGTGCTTTTGAAAAGAAAACCACATTACATGTTTAAGTTGACTCCTGCCTGTGCAGATAAGGACATGCAGCCTTTTTAGAAGCAATTTGTCTTTTGTCATTCAGATGCTGCACAACATGAAGGGTCAGTTTGCTGAGCATCTAATGCATACAGGCTTTGTCAGCAGCAGGGACCCCAAAGACCCCAAATCCAACGTCAACTCGGGTAACTAAAAATCAACTATTCATCGACCGGTTGCGATTCAACTGTCCGAAAATGCTCGTTCTTATGAGTCTTAAAACCAGACTGTGGAGCAGTAATGAAATCTCATATGCAACATGCTCATTTTTTTTATTTCTCTAACTCTCACTTCCTTCATCAGACAATGAGAAGTTGATCAAGGCGGTGATTGTAGCTGGTCTGTACCCGAAGGTGGCAACGATCAAACCATCTCACAGCAAGAAGAGGCCCGGGTGAGTCTGCCAATTCAATGAGAGGAGCAAAGACAGACAATAGAGAAGTGCACAATCATTCTTATTGAACTTTTGATTGAAAAAATGGCGACAACATCTCATCAGACCTCTCAGGTGAGAGTTTTGTAACGGTCCTGTGACAATTACCTGCGGCTATGCAGAGAACATGCCAGAAAAAGAGGCGCTTTTGCAGCTGAAGATCAATGCAGTCATCATAAAACTGGCCTCAGGCAGCTGTCATCGGCATCGTCTGTGACCGCTTCAGAGACACGCAAACAGGGAGACAGACACACACTCTCACAGTAGGCCTGTCACTTCTGTTTGTCTGTCTCCGTGACAGCTTTAGACCCAGTTGGACAGTGAAAATTGCCAGGGTCATTTCCTCTGCATAAGTAGTTCTCAGCACTTGTGGTGCTAATCCATTTGGAAAGTCTTCACATGTCTGCAGTATTTAATGCCTTGCTCAATGAAGCACTCTTTTGTTTGTTTTGCTGCTAAATCAGAGCGCTGTCTGGTACAAGCAGCTTTGTTCCCCGCAGTCAAGCGGTTGGGTTTTGTCGCGCTGACACGCAGGAGTTTGAATCATGGCGCTACTTTCATGTTAGGGAGGATTCGCAGACTGCATCATAACTTGTCTTTGGTACCCTCCGTGCTAAAATGGCAGGAGGCGTTCTTTCTGCCTCGTATCAACAAGCCTAAAGCACCTGATGGGTCATTTCTAGAACTACTTATGATCCGTTTTGTGTCAAATCTGTGGAGTTCCTCTTTTAATGACTAGACATCTTTACCATGTACTGTAGCGCTCGGTGGCAGTTTCCTACCTACAGTAATGAGAAATGTTTCCCCCTCTGTTCCCTTGTCCGTTGTCAAGATAGTGATGGTAATAAAACTATAAGAATTTCCTTTATCAATAGTTTTTACCAAATGTACGTCGCCCCACCACCCAAACAAACACAGGCACGCTAACATCTTCTCTTTCTCAGGGTGAAGGTGTACACCCAAGCTGATGGAAAGGTGTGCATCCACCCGAAATCAGTCAATGCTGAAGAGACGGAGTTCAACTACACGTGGCTCATCTACCACCTCAAGATGAGAACGAGCAGTGTGAGTAGGCGAGGGGACATGGGAATGCAATACCCTGTTTCAACGCGGCTGCATGAATGTTTTTTTACTCTCAAGTGCGTATTGCTCGTGTCTTGTTGATTTTGTATGTGTCCCTCTGAAGGGTGCGTGTGAGTGGAAAGAAGGGCCAGTGGTTTATTCCAGCTTTACTCTGAATGAATATTTGATTATAACGCTGCCTTTCAACTCGCCCTCAAAGGCTCTTGTGCTTCAAAGCGTCCACACACAATGTGGGGGAAAACGGTCAATGCGGCTCCTGACGGCCATTCTCTTTCTTTTTTGTTTTTGTTGTTGCCCCTTTTTACTCCCATTTTCGCCTCCCTTCCATCTGTCTGTCTTTGTTCCTTGTGTGCCATTTCTCTTTGTGAAGGTTACTCTTCAGCAGAAAAAAACCCCTTTCATGTCCTCTCTGATTTCTGCCTGTGCCTCTCACTTTGCCGCCTTGGTCTTTATGAAGAAAAGTATTTTGCTGGATTTTCCCATTATTATTGCCACCATTAAATGTTGTGGAAATAGTTCTGTGCACAATGCTCTGCATTTGTGTCTATTATCAAAGTAAAGTATTCAGAGAGTCCAAGCTTGTCACGGTTGTTTGTTTTACTAAGTGAGAGAGAAGGAAGCAGAAAGTCCTGGAAAGAAAAAAATAAAAGGAAGGAAAGTGAGTGATGACGTTAAACTTTATCTCCTCTGACGCACTTGCACCTGGTGGTCTATTACATTACATATTCAAGGGGCAAATGCAGTTGTCCCCGCTCTCTCCTTGCTTATTTTTTCTCTTTGTCTCCCACCCACTCGCCTTACCTTCTCAGATGCTAATTTATAACACTGCTGTCTGTTACCTTCAAAGCTGAAATATATATACTGTGTATATATATATATACACACAGTGCATCACATAGAGTATCACTTCTTTCTTCTGTCTACATATTTTCAAATTTATATTATTTCTGTAATTTCTTTAAAAAAAACAAAAAACGTTTTTATTTGGGTATCAATAGTCACGCTACTCTGCATGAGCAGCTGTCAGTTGAGCACAGGAAGGAAAAGAGTGCAACACATTTGTGAAATTCACAGACCGGGCAAGATGACATTTCTCTCAACACTGGAGGCACTGAAACACATTTCAAACTCGCACGGCCTCTCTTCACTAATGGGACACTTTCAGCCCACACCACAGAATAGCTGTCGGGCACGGTGTGTCATAATGATCCCGCTTCCCGTCACCGACTGTGTTGGCGTGTTTTGTTGTCGAGCTCCTGTCGTTTGTGCGTTAGCGATGTCTCTCTGCGTGTCCTCAGATCTTCCTCTACGATTGCACTGAGGTGTCCCCGTTCTCGCTGCTGTTCTTCGGAGGAGACATCACGATCCAGAAAGACGAGGACCAGGAGACCATCGCCGTGGACCAGTGGATCGTCTTCAGATCCCCGGCACGCATAGCGCACCTGGTCAAAGTAAGCACAGGACACACTCGCGACAAAGCGAATGATACATTTTACTGACCCGTCTTTTCTACAGAGTTTAAAGAACGAGCTGGATTCTCTGCTGGAGGAGAAGATCCGTAACCCTGCTCCCGTGGACTGGCAAAATCGTCAGTCCAAAGACTGCGCTGTCATCACAGCCATCATAGACCTCATCACCACCCAGGAGAAGCCTACAGGCAGCACGAAGGGCTATGATAGAACGTGGGCGTCTGGCCCAAGAGCACCACGCATTCAGTTCGATGACGACGATGATTAGGTGTGGCCAGGTTTTAGGCTGGTTATGAGGAGAAGAGCTTCGGAGCTGACTGATTGCACCCTTGACCACAGAGGTTAGTTGGGATATTTATGACACCCAGCTGGCATCCTCGATGGTGCTTCTGAAACCCAGAAGTACTGGGAAGTGTTATGCACTTGAATGACTCAAATTACTGTTTTTGCTTATTCTGTCATTTTGCAAGGACCAATCCATGTTCCAATCCACACTCGGTAGCCGTTTTGTTAATTTGGTTTGAATAAATCTTGCTCCTTGTTAAGCAATGTCACCGAATAGACTGCACAATAAAGAAAGGATCAATGAAACAAAAACGCATGGCTTTGCCTCATCTGCTTTACTAAAATGAAATTTAGGAATTCAAAAACAAAGTAAGAACTATTACTCGTATATTGCAGGCTTTATTATGGGAAACCATAATCTGTTCTATGACGTGAGAGCAGCATTTATTCTGAGGGAGCAATCACCTGGGTAATATTTGGATAGAATGAACACCTGCATCTCATAAATATCTAAAAAAGTGCCGCTGGCCAAAGGATTTGTATTTTTCTGATTTAATCTGCACTGAATACCCAGAATATTGAAAATGTAAAATACATGTCGATCATTGAGAGTACATGACAGACCCCAGGCAATTAAGCTTTTATTTTTTTAGTGGCTGAAATATATAAAGGTTGACTGAACAAGTTTCTACAATATAAATCTGTATCTTGGCAAACGTATGTTACAATTGGAGGCTGCTTTACATATTTACATGTAGACATGATTTACAATAGTTATAAGTACAGAAAGTGATTTGAAATAAAGATCAATTCATGCTTATGTGTGGTATCGCAGAGCTAATTTTCCCTGAGTGCAAATGCAAAGCTCCGTCCGGATACCCATGTCCTTCCCTCTGGGTGCTCTGCCCGCTACCGTCATACCTCGCCAGTTGAGGTTGTCATTCCGGCTGGGGCCGGAGCAGTGGGGCTTGATGGATGGCGCTCTGGCCCCTCTGACCAAGCCATTCATTTCCATTGGCTGGGCATTGCAACACTTAAAAAAAAAAAAAAAAGATGACTCACGCTGGACTATCGCATTAAAAGCAGGGGCGCTCTTCTCTTCCGGTCAAACCATCGGCACGCACAAATTAATTCAGCACGCCTGACATCAGATATAAATCCTGGGGGGGGGGGGGATATTTATATTTACACCGCTGGCTGGCCTCTAGGGTGCGTGATATTTCAGGCTGTCCAAATCATTGAGTGGGTGGAGAGAAAAATGGGATCTGTGACACAAATGTAGAGTCTGATTCACGGCGGTGACATTAACTGGTGACAAACAGCAAGGTAGAGGACAGATACTTAACCCGTGTGATGATGTCATGAGATTATACCTCGAACTGTAATATTCAATTAATGACTTATTCTGTTGACACAGTTCCATGGGCTTCAGACAAGTAGCATTTGTTTATTCTGCAGCTCAACGTACACCCTTCTGTATATCTTCTTGTAAACATCATGGTAATAGTTTCACTTGCTATCGGATGCTGCTGAAGTAGCATCTGTTCTACACTAACCCACGCACTGTAAAGAAGCTGCCAATCCCACCGTCTTGCCTCATTATCCCTTTCACAACCAACATCTTCATAGTTGCATTGTTACTGGCAAAGCTCCTAGTTACACGGCCTGATGATCGTCATGAACAGAGCACACATCAGGCTGCCGTCATCTCTACACTATTTGGTCTACTTTACCTCCTATGGCGATACTGTAGTTCCAATTGTTACATAGTACATCACTAACGCAAAAAAAAAAAAAAAAAAAATGTACATTTACACATTTCACACCAAAAGTTGTAAGTAGCGTGGTGTTGAAAGGAGTGACTCTGGCAGTGGGTGTGAAGTCTTCTCACCAACCGGGTAATTATTGTGACAGATCCCACCCACACAGGGACCAATCAGCAGTTAAGGACATCTCGTGTTCGCTTCTAAACTCCGACAGTATGCCTGATATTTAGTGGACGCTGAGCTGAAGTCTTAAGAACTACGTCTTCATCTGGTCCACTTGGTCCCTGAAGGCAGGTCACTGATGTGGTTACTGAACTCATTTGTTTGGGTTTGCTTCTTAAAAAAAGGAAGTTCACTGGTGAGTCAAAGGATCACTACCAGCTGAGAAGAAAAAAAGCCCTCTGTGGTTTTAAGCACCGGGCTCATACGTTGGTCTCCAACCCCTGCAGGCGGTCCATCCTCTGCATGTTGCGCTCGATGGTGGCCTGGCACGTGATTGGTTCGGCACACTCGGCGAGGAACCACCCCCTTTCTCCGTCGCGCAGTCGCTCGCCTTCATACCAGTCTAAGAGGAGAGAAATGGCACTGATGCATAAAAAGTGAAACGTGTTGTGTTTCCACGTGATCTGTTTTTGATGCTCAATGCCGTCTGTTCTTTAACAGGAAAGACAGTTGCTATGGTCACTAAAAGGGAGAGGACCTTTGTCCTCTGTTTGTTTAGTTTTAAGCCACATCCTCAAACATGTGTAAGGTCCATTATATAAGACATATGGGTATTGAGAAAGACAGTTTATAAGAGCATGAGAAAAGGACACAGTTGAAACGGGAAGGTGGATGAGGGGAATACTAAAGAGGTTGAGTGAAGCTATAGAAAGAGCTAGAGAACGAGAGAGAGAGAGAGAGAGAGAGCACTAACGTACCATCCTCTACAGTCTGCGAGACCAGCACCACATCAGCCACCTGCAGGGACAACTCGTCTGGCTGCTTGGCTGTGTAAGTTCTGATCACCTCCACCTGCATGACATCTACAACACCCAAATCTATAAATCACTGGCCTTATTTGAATATATCTGAATGAACAAGCCAATTGTTTTAGAATCCATCTGAGAAAAGTCAGTTCATCAAATGACCACAGGGTGGTGCAATAGGCCTAAAGGAGAGTCCAGGCAGCCTTTTTCAGATGGGTATTTGAGTGTTTGTGGCAACTTACTGGTTCTGTCCTGACTCTTGTTGTTGTTGTTGACATTCTGGCCCAGGGCGCTGATCCATCGAGCACGCTCATTCCTAAAAGCACACATTTCAGCACATGAAGTTCTGGCTTTAGTCACTTCACAACTCCTAAAACCTGACTGCTGTGAGAGTTACACACCTCTCCAATTGTGGTTGAGGTGAGGTTAATTCTTTTGAGCTTCTAATACAGATGTAGCACATGCTACGTCACAGCGGTTTTGAGAACATACACAGCTATAGAAAGGACCGACACATGCCGACAGGCTATTGAGGCAAATGGATTACTTAGTCGCTCAGCAAGTTTTGCCTCCTCCCTCCCTCCCTCCTCCCTGTCCCCAGTCAATGAGAGAACAGAGGTGTGTTTTTCACTCACAGAGAACTGAGGAGAACAAGCACAAGGCCGATTCCCAGGAGGGTACAGAGCTGCTTTTGCTTACTCTCCCTCTTGTGCGTTTCATGGGAAAGAAACAGTGGGTGGAGTCGCACAGGTCAAGGTCCACGAATCTCTCCCATTTCACCTGTTCTCACAGACTACAGAATGGGGGCGAGGATTTGGAAAGAGTGGGAGAGATAATGGGAGTTCAGGAAATGAAACAGAGGGGGTTATGTAGGCCCCCTCTGACTCGGCACCGTTGGCTTGAATCATGGAGATAGGTACAACATGCGAAATCACAGACAGAGCGGGACCCTCTTCCCAAAGGCACTAATGGACCTTGAATGGGCAAGTCCCATGAGTCAGACCTCATTATTGTGTTCCCATTGTACACATGCCGTTTTAATCCTTTCCCGGACGCACAAGCTGTAACAAGCGGGGTCACGTCAGCCTTCCACAACTAATTGGACTGTATGAAATCACTATAAAACCTTTAAATACAATGATTAACTTAGAGCCATCAACGTGCATCCACAATACAATATTATGACTGATAAAACTGTGACCTTTGGAGTCCAAGGATACATTTTACAATCTCAAATCAGCACTTTATCATGACAATCCTCTCTTTAGTACCCTCTACCATGTTTAATCATTTACCAGTCATTTTAAATATGTCCTGGTGTAGGCCATAGGGTTCCTCAACAACTACCCATTTTTTAATTATTTATTTTGTCAGCCATTGCATTCAGTGATGAAGCAACACTTGTTTATCTTCAAGACAAGTGTCTCTATGAGGCAGCTAACTTCATGCTAACTTTAACAATGCAGCAATGACTATGCTAACATGCTGATATTTGGCAGGTATAATGTGTGCCATGTTATCTTGACAGTCTTAGTTTAGCATGCTAACATTTGCTACTTAGCATTAAACACCAATTACAGCTGAGTCGGTTGGGAACGTCATTAACTTAGTACGTATTTGGTCATTAACCAAAGTATCTGCTGTCATTCTGAGAGTATCATGACCTCATGGCAAGCCTTCCAATAGTTGCCGCTAGAGGAAATGTGCCCGCTAACTTCTCCGCACTGAATACGCAAAGTCCTTCTAACAATCCGCGCCGCTCTGTGGGAAAGGCATCTGTTAGTCGCTGCACTCGACAGCTGGACACGCATGCCGACAGATTGATGTGCACATACACAACACACCATCATGCCTAAACATCTGAAATACTTTATCGGAACTATGAATGCACATGTATTGAATACATCGAGCACGGGCAACCACATGTGTTTGAGAAGCACTTAACGGTTATCTGTGGAATGTGAGGCACATACCAAAGGGTAAGGGTCAAAAAAAAAAGAAAAAGGAAAACAGCCGTTGAAATGTAAGTGTTCATGTGTGTTTACATGCAGGCATGTGAATACTGCATATGCACAAACAGCAGGTGCGGTAAAGCTCCCTCTGCCTTTAACCATTCATCATAAATCTGTTGTCAAAGGTTCTCGCTTAACCTCTGAAAAGAAGAGAGGCCTTGCTGCTGCACTATACAACCTCTTTCCCACAAGCAGATAAAGAGCGGTGACAGCCTCTCTCCATCGTCTGCCAACTTAAAATCACCACCAGACCACTGTTTCTTACCCCCCCTCTTGCCCTTTTCTGCACACTCCTATCAAATAGTTTTCTCTACCTAGTCCCTCGCTTCTTTCCACTTAAACACAGGTCACCTTCTCCTCTCTGACCGGAGCTCACCAGCCAGGGAAACTCCCAGGCAGAGAGAACAATTCCCATCAGCAAGTTCCTCGTTATCACATAAGCAAAAGCAGACTGAGTAAGATAATCAAAAACAACAACTTAAACGAAAGCAGACTGAATCTAAAGTAATGCCAAAGTGTGCAACAGAAGTACAGACTCCCCTCTCCGGTTGGGGCGGTTACGTAACCGGTGCTGCTTTGTGTTATAGCTGCATATCTGACTAACAGAACTGTTTGGCTGCAGACTTCTGTAGCTGCTCTGTTCCACTAATAGAGAAGCGCAATTCACTGACTCTGGACAGGACACAACATCAGGGTCATGGGGAAGACACACGGACATGTGCGCACCAAACAAAAGGGTACAGAGAAAGGGAGGAGGACACAGACAGAAAGCAAGAGAATCGCAGACGCTACACAGGCGTCCTTGTACCATCTCCGATCCAGCTGTCTGAATTCCTGATGTATCATGTCACTGCTGTGGTCAAAGATCAGTCTATTGTATGCAGCTTCTTAAGACCTCACGCAGTGATACACAGATGCAGGTATTGCATGAGCTTAACTGAAGTGAAAGTGGAAATGCCCACACTGACCAACATGAAATGAAGTCCATTTCTACGGTTTCATTTCCACACAAAAAAACACAGACCCGCCTTCGGTCAGAATGTGTGGAATTTCACATTGTAACCAGACTTGAGTTGTACTGAAATTCAGCGTTGAAGTAAAACAATATAGGGATGTGTATGCAATACAGCCACTATTTCTTCCCAAGCAAAACGATGCATTTATACCTGCTTTAACTCATTAACAGAGGAGCCATGCACAAAGGAGTCCTGCAATTTCATGGTCTTTCCCTTTTGTATTGTGACAACAAGAACAAATCAGGAGGCTGTCCGGTCCTGTACTTTTCTCTAATTTTGGTAATTGAATTGGTTTTGTCGAACAACACAAACAACTTAAATTCGACACCTATACCTCTAAATGTATTCTAAATTTTTGACATGATTATATAATAAAAATAGATTGTTGACGCCATGCCTGACTTACTCAAATATAAGCAATTTGAGGTCGTCATCCGGGGCTCATGGAACTTGTGATATGTATGTTTGTCTATTTTCTGATGCTTTATACAGTATTGAAAATAATAATTTAATTGTGAAAATATTAATTAGTTGCAGCCCTATTCTCTTATAACAATGGTATAGCATCCGTATTGTCCTCTCTACCTCATTCAACTCTGATAGAAGCCCAAAATAGGCTGGCTAATGTAACACCACGGCCATGTGTCATGCTGGGTTAGATCACTAAATTGGGATGAATGGCCGAAAGAGGAGGAAGTTATTCTGGTCCCCAAAAACAAAGAGCAGACACTGGCTGTCTAAAAGATCAGACGCGGGACTGTGAAGAAGACGAGGGGAGGGTGAGGAAACAGGTGGGGGGGGGGGGGGGGGGGGGGGGGGGGAGGGGTAGTCGTGGGAAACAGCCCACCTAACAATGGGCCGCTGCTAGGCAACAGCTTAAACAATGCCTAGCAACTACCGTATCAATGGCTAGTTGCTAGGGTCTCCTCTCCTCGGCTTATTCAGTACTACAGTGAGCGAAGCGCTGCACTCGCATACATCATTACATCGTCGTAGAGGGGCCCCAAACTCAAGATATCAAGGGTGGGAGTCGAGGGGCTTTCCACAACGACACACAAACACAATGGGCAGTTCGATGTGGAGACCCCCTCATGTATACATCGGCAGCGCATATAAGTCATGTCACAAAGACTCCCTCCCGCACAGGCCCATGACAGTCACACTTAACACCATTACTGCTGTGGCTTTGTCAGGTTTCACTGCATGGGTGTTAACATCAGTGGACCAAACTGCTATTCAACAACAAAACAGATTTTAAATTCCAATTGCAAATGGGAACAATGTCACGCTCCATCCTTGGGCAGCGCTGTGCCACCACTGACCCAAATCAACCACAGAAGACACCTTAAAAACACTCAAATCCATGGGATTTAGTAACATAAAGACGTGTAAACAAGACAACTACATCCTAGGATGAGAGGCAGTAAGATCAGCAGTCCCTACGCCAGAGGCCTGTCCCTACTCCTGCTGGCACGGGAGCTTTTAAGCACTTCCTTGCCAGGCCAGGTGCACCTCGTTGAGCAATGCAGCACACCTGGGTAGAGCCACTGGAGAGGGTGGATAGCACAGGGGACACACACAGCTCTATAAAACACACACACAGAAGTGTGCAGTGGAGATGAACACTAGTTTAGTGGTTTCCAACCTGGGAGTCACAGGATGAACGAAAGGGGTTACAAGATAAATACCTGGGTAGAAAACCATAAAAAAATGACTTCTGCTACATTAAATTAGATTTTCTGACTTTTCTTTCATCTTCGCTTTTTTCTTTTCTTATTTCCGTCCTCTTAACAAAACAGTGACACACTGTTTGTCCCTTTGCCTGCAGTAGGCCATGCTGAAGGGTGTTAACAAAACGGTGCATTTTGATGTAAATTTGAAGTTTGAAAGCTGCATTGACTTTAAGTTGTTTCTCTTCATTAAACATAGGAAGATGTTTAATTACCATTGATTGAATCCTTTCTATTACCTTTAACAATAAACATTTTAAAACTGTAATAAAATAGTCATATTGAAACTTTTACAGATTATAAATTACACAATATATACCTGTGGAACATTCAGCTGATGCAAAAGAAAGAGTTAAGAGACATTGAAAGGCGGTGTTTTGTACAGTGAAACTGAAAACCACTCCTCTGTAATGAGAATACAGACAGCGGTTCTCGAACGACACAGGAATGAGGCGGAACCGGCCCTGTGCATATGAAAACACTCTTTAACAAAGCCTTCAACCACACAAAATAATTACAGAGAAAACTCCGTGTGTGTGTGTGTGTGTGTGTGTGTGCGCCTTGCGCATTTGTGTACGTGTGTGCACATGGACTGCAATTTCTATCGCTAACCAGAACAAATAAACCCTGAATGAAGCCCAATATACGACAGGTCCTCTTTGTTTGTGCGGGTTATATAATCTAAACAACCTGGCGTTTCACTCTGTTTGCTGTGCAAAGAGAGACAACACAGCTACAGACATGCATATCAAGGAAGCTCAAACCAGCAGACTGCGTTTCTACATCAGAGTAATCACATTTACGCTGCTCATGCAAAACATGTCAGCTACAACCAGCAGTCTTTAAACAAAGAGAGATGCTTTCCCCGGAATAGATGGTTGGGGCTAGAAGATGCTCAGTCAACAAAACACTTATCCGGTACAGCCGGACTGTGTTACAGGACGACGGCAGACAGTACGACTAATAAACTTCCTTTTCCCTAGATCACATAAACAACAAAGCAGTCAGGCTCAGGCTGTGGCTTGAAAATAGATGTAACGAAATACCCCTGTGACTTTTCATGGTCCAAAAAGAGACTCAGAAATAAAAGCTTAGGAGAGAGGATAATGGCATTTCCTTACTTCAAAGTTTAAAAGCATATTAGAGCACATAAAGGAAAGATAAGGGAGTAGGAGTCGTGTTTCAGGGAGAAGAGAAGGACCTGAGCTCTGCTCTCTTCACAGGAAACCAAACTATCAAACCTTAAGTGTACTTTGACCTACTCATGCATGTACAAAGATGCAGCGGTGATTGTATCAGTGACTGAACACACAAGTGATACAAAAACAGCACAACAAAGAGGGACAACGGTAACAAAATAAAAACACTCACAGCAGCTCCGTCCCCAGGACCATGGGCACCGTTTCGCCGGAGTGGTTGCTTCGGAAACGCAGACGGAAAAAATGGTTGGCGCCAGCTTGCCGTGAGCTCAGCATGCTGGCGGTGCTTCTGACCGGTGACAGGTTGAGATCCTCGGGCTGGCAGGAACCCACCCAGATCTGGTCCCTCAGCGCGTAGTCGATCACAGTGTAACTCTCCTCGCTGAAAGAGACACAAAGCTTTAATACGATCGTACTTACTGCATTTAGTTCAGTGGCAGTCACCAGATTCAGTCAAGTAAGATGTATTTAAAACACAAGTTTTGGTGACGGAGGAATTGACAAAAGTCAATTGTACTCGCTCAAAAACTATTTACCTGGAACTGTATCCCACCAGCCAATGTAGTTAGATACAGATGCAAATGATTTTAGGAGGTTAGTAATCAAACAGATGTGGCCTTTCTGAATTTTTTGGAATGACTTGTTTGTGCTTTAGGAGTCTGCTGAAAGCCCCAATCCACAATTGCCATAAAGCCCCCTTCACACTACACCATCCACCCACTCCCTCCCTCCCGCACATCACATTTAAGCTCATTGTTTTCAGTGCAGATTTAGTTTCATGGTACCTCAGCCATTGAACCCCTGAGAGGTTGCAGACTGTGTAGTTAATCAAATTCACCTGGATTAATAAATCAGCTGCCACATTAGGTCTCTAGATTCTGTGCCGGTGAAAAGTCCAATCACTCATCCGTCTACATGGCCTCACACTAAATCAGCCGCCCTCTGGTTTCTTTCGTACATGCCCACATTTCCCACGAGTACCTTTACCATGACCCTGTGTCTAGCACTATGGAGCGAGTGAGAAACATCTGGAGCTGATTGTGAAACATGGTACCTCTCATATGGCACTGAAACCTGGAGAAAAAGGTTGTGTGTGTGTTTTTCATAGTGCTCTGAAGAGCAGGAGCTGAAGTCCAGCATCAACATGAGACTGAAACAGCAGCTGAGCTGAGAAGCTACCGGACACTGCTAGCTTCTTGTAAGCCAGCATGTCCATTAGTGTGCTGAACACACAAACACAAGAATGGACAACGGTAGCGGTTAAACAAGCAGCGGTGAACAGTTGATCTGTCCGTGTCTTACGGTATCACTCTTTCACTTACACACACACACATGCTCACACTCACAGGGTTGGGGAATCCAGTCACGGTCGGGAGGCTCTCAACAAGGTTCGACTGTTACCCATCAGCCCCTATTGTCCACCAATCAATCAATAAAAGCCTGTCGCCCACAACCAATTAGACTTCTTGGAAAAGGGGAAAGAGAGTTCAGGGAGAGGCAGATCAGATAAAAACAGAAGGAGTGGATGGGAAAGCGAGCACGATGTATTTACACTGAAGCTGCTTCCAACTGTAGCCACAAACTGCTCTCTGCATCAGGCTAACCACACCGACCCGGAGCTCAACAGAAGAAGTTGACATTTCGGGAAATACAATTATTTGCTACGCCTAGCAGTTAGATAAGCAGATTCATACCATTCTCATTTTGTCTTTAAAATATGAATTATTTTTTCAAGCTCATGCTCTTATTTTAAATCAGCTTTACTAACCTGTGTGTGTATTACAGTATATTTCGATGAAAAGCTTACATGAGAGCAACAATTGTTATATTAATCTAACCGGACCACCTTGCTCTATGTCACAGAATCCCTGTTTTATTTTAAAATTCAGTAAAATAAAATAAAAATAAATTTTAAAGTTGTTTCTTAAGCATAAAACTCCTTAAACTGTGCACTTAAAAAGGGACCAGCCCTGGAAATGTCCCTTAAGGCGAAAATTCAAAGTTGTTTTGTAATTTGTTTTTGGGCAGTTTGAAAGATTTTTTTTTATTTACCCCTGATATCATGCAAAAAATAAAAGTATAAATGAATGCATCTCCATGGCTGTCGTCATGATTTATTTTCACCTGAAACATTTAAAGACCTTTATGTGAACCAAAATCCTAATGGTCCCATCTAAAATAAAACTAAAAATACACCCAAATACTGTTCAGGGGTAACATAAGAATCGAGGGTCGTTAGGGTCGTCACCTCTTTGGCTCCAGACAGCCCTACAGTCGAAATGCCTGGAATGCCATTAACATGATGCTAGGGAATGGGATGGGTGGGGAATCTGCAAGTTTGAGGGGTAGGTGGGTAATACAGTGTTGGGTTATTGCTGAATAGGGGAATGAAGGTGGGAAACAGTTAAAATATGTCGAAATGTGGGAGAGAGTGTTAGAAACTGATACAACAAGCGAAAGAATCTATCCAGTGTTTGGCCTCCTCATAAGCTACTTACACAGAAACAAACTTGCTGGAATGAAAATCCCTCTGCCGCTAGAGATAGCGTAGGCATCTACCACACTCGCCATCACAACTGTGCCAGTTACCGTCTTCCTAGTGTACAACCAGTTCTTCAACACAACCCGAGTTCACACAAATCCTCTGAGAGATGTTGAGATACAACTCCAAGTCAAGCATGCAGGCAGACATGCATGCACACACACACACACACACACTCTCTCTCTCACACTCTTAGAGCATAATGTTCTGGTGCAAAGTACAGTAGGAGTGTTGAGACTATGGCATAGTCAAACAAACAGAGGGAAGAAACAAAACAAGAACAGAAAATGTTGGGATTATAGGCTTGCTTGCACACGCACACACACGCACACACACACACACACACACACAAAGGATTGACAAAAAAACAAAACACAAGGTCATGACTACCAAAAAAGAAAGGGAAAGGACAGAGAGAGAAAAACAAAGAAAGAGAGATGAAGACTTTAACAGTACTGAAGGTTTAGATGATGCCCAGCATCACACAGGAAAAAGGGGGGGAAAGTGAAGATGAGAGAGGAGCCAGCTGGTGTGGACTCGGTGTTATGTAAGTGTTCCTGTGAGCCAGAGAGCAGCAGATCAAAACTTTCCCCGCTGCGTGACAATAGCCCAGTCTGACATGGGCTTGGTTTCCAAGGGCCAATTTCATTTTGGATCCAGTTCGAAGTTGACAAAACAATGTCTGATTTACAGCAATATAAATACAGAGAATTGTAGCAAATCCCCACATTGGAGAGCTAGAGCTAGAGCTAGATTAGAGCTAGATTAGAACTAGTTTTGCATTTGTGCTTAAAAAAAATTATCAAAATAGTTGCCATTTGACTTTACCAATACAGATTTGAATGATTTTATATTTAATGAGCGGACACAATACAAGATTCATTTTCAGTTAAATGCTATTGAACCTCAACCAATGACAACACACTAACCATAAGGATTCCCAACCAAATAAAACAGGCAAACACGCTCCCTTTCTTCTGAACATATTTGATGTTTAGTCCTATAAAACTTCTCAGGTCATAGGGATGTTTTTGTCTCTACTGTGTAAGTGCCGTGGCTTTTGACCTTTTGCCCACTTCCTTCTGGTGTTCATGGTACTCCTTAAAATGTATGCTGAAAAAAAAAAAAAAACGAGACAAGAAGCAGCCGAGAGGATTCAAGCAAACAACATTATTGCATTTGGCAGCAACCTTCGGTTCGCTGATTGTAAGCTATCCCCCCCAACGCACTCCAAGTCATGATGACAAGGGGAAAAAGCTATTACACCGTTATGTCTATGACCGTGCTGTGCCTGGCTAGCCTCGTGGTACCCCTGCCGCGTTTCTGTTTTGATTACTGCAGATGGAGTAGTGTGCCACAGCAGGGCTGCCAATATTATAACAGCGTCTCCTAATACACATTGTGTTCCGGAGCACTCCCTTTCTCAAATCCCTCTTCCAAACACAGGCCCGACACCACACACTGCTGGAGTATGCGGTCCCTGGATCAGATTCCCAGAAAAATATCACATGGAATGTTTCCTTTCCTTTTTTTAATGATTCTTAGGAAATCGTAGTTTTTGCGAGTGGCGGGAAAATCGTTTCCAGACACAGAGGGAAGATGGCCGGGAAGGGATTTTTTTTTTCTGGCAAAAATAGACACATTTGTGTGCGCAGACCCACACTGCACGCACACAAATGAAAAACACACCATTTCAAGGAAGTCCTCTTCGTGACTCGTTTCATAGTGTTGCCTAAAACTAGAGGGAAAAGAGGAGACTCACTAACAAGGCTGCCAATAAGCAGGTCTACTAGCTCCAGATGATGCATGTTGAGACCTTGACAACATTCAGAAAAACAGGCTCAGGCTCAAGATGCCAAGTCGCAGCAGGTTAAGATAACTGCACCTGTTCAGCTTAATAAACACAAACATAAAGCAGGGGGGGCAGCGTGGAAGATCAGTCTAATTGTACAGTGCATCTAAGGGTGTTATTCCCAATATCACAAAACAAGTTAAAACACGAGGATGGGGAGGACAATAGTCCATGCCCTGCTCTCAGGGTCTTGGCCATGTGCTGTTCATACACTCACACAGTGAAAACAAAAATGATTGTAATCATTGAAAATGATTACAATTTCACCCGCAACATGTCAGAACAGGTAAGTTATGAGAAGTGCCTGCACACTTATGCCACATTTACACCAGAACCTGACTTACCTCTTCTTCCTAGTGACAATGAAGACGTCATTGAAGAGGAAGAAATAGACTTGTTGCCGTGATGTCCGCTTGAGGAAGATGCCGTTGTCCTCCACAAATGCCGTCAATTCTCCTCTCTTTACCATCCACCTGGAGGAGGAGACCAGCGGGAAGGGCTGGGGGGGGGAATGAAAGGGGATGTGAAGAACCGGAAATAGCAATACATCCAACCATATAAAAGGAATTCAAAATATCTGAAATGTTGCTGCCGTCAGGAATTCCTGAATCTGTGTTTGCCTGTGTGAACAGCTGGCCATGCAGACTGAGAATATGTTCGCGAGACATCTGTGAATCCCAAATGTGCCAACAGCTATTTTCCCCACACTGCTTAGACAGACTGCCAAACCTGCATTATGTGTATAGATACTCGCCAAGCGAGTGACAGTGGTGTGTTGCATGTCAGTGCATGACTGTATAAGCCCATGTTCTACTTCATTGTTACCGACCGCCATGGGCAGTTTCTTAACACCGACTATCTTCCATCTCATGCACAAAGAGGTGGAGTGTTTATATCAACAAAGTCACTCGGATGACCCCAGGCACTTGTACGTTCTGGTGTCATCCACAAGATAACTCCTTTTTCATCATCTCACTTACACAGGCTACTGTGGTAGCAAAGGGAAGGCCGATGCATCCAATCCACCCATGATCGAGTTGGTTCTAGTGGAGGATATTGTCACAGTGCCAGCTTCAGCCAATCTCTTTACTGGGTACGATGAATTTTGTCTTACTACAAAACATAACTACAGCAAGTTGTAGCGCCACGTCAGCCTCTGTTTTGTTTACATCTTCTTCCCCATGAGATCACGTGAGAGCGATCACGTGAGGTGGTGCATTGATCCAGGCTGAACCCTGGCAGCCATGCAGCAAAATTTGGACTTGAATATGCCGGCTATTGAGCCTACTGTTGCTTCCCTCATAGTTTCCCCCGAAGAGGCTCTGAGGCTGGATGCCAGGTGCCCTCAATCCCAATGTCAGGTCACAGATGAACTACTTTCCAATCCTTATGATACAGCGCTGTGCAAGGGCCGTATTGGCAACTCCGTCTCAGATTCTCTGCAGCAGGATACTTTCGATGCGTCCTCCAACAAACTCAGCAATGCTTCATTGCAGGCATTTGCTCTAATGTCAAGGGAACTTGGGCGTCTGATGTTCAGGCTTGCTGGTGCAGTCACCCTTGTCAGAGGCATGTAGGAGGACCTCTGTACTGTCCCAGTGGAACCAAGGGAGCTGTTCGGTTTAGCTGCTCTACAGACGCTTAAGTGGACCGTCCAAGCCAATCACACCAGGCAGCAGTTCTCGGGTCCTCTCATGTACATGTCCCTGCCATGAGGCCTAGGGGTCCCGGATCTGCCCTTTAAGGCCACTCCCAGACACCACCTCAATCCACTGGCCACCATGGGTCTCAGCGCCCCATTAAGAGGCTGGTCCACTACCATCACAACCCTGCCCGCTTGCCCCCCAGGGTAACCTCGGAGCCTAATAGGCGCCCACCAAAGCCAAAGCATTCAAAGGCTTTGGGGTGTCACTCTCATGCACAAGATGTGTAGACAGCTCTTGTTACCTCTTATTACCAAGCTAAGCTAGCCGGATGCTTCATATTTAAAAAGGACCCACATGAGAGTGGTATTTATCTTCTTATTTAACTCTCGGCAAGATACAGAATAAGCACATTGCCAATAAAGTACAACTTGTGTGTAACAATTTGTGTCCATACCTTGATCTTGAACTCCAGCTGAGAGTTGATGGTATACATCATCTCTGTTCTTTCCATTGTGCGAGCTCCCTCATTACACTTTCTTACCACCTGCACACACACACACACACACACACACACACACACACACACACACACGCGCACACCCACACACCCACACACACACACACCCACACAGTGTCTATTAATCACAATGTACATTTTCCTTCTATTTTTCACATTGAATCTATTAATTGAATGCTGCATGATATGATGACAGCTAAATCATTCCTTGATTGAAGTGCTTATATCTCCAAGTAGAACTTAGAGAATTTCAAGCCTAACCCTCGTCTAAGGCAAGTCTCCTGAGGCATAGCATCACTATAGCAACATATATTAAATAATATGTATAAATGCGCAGATACAAATTCACAAAAATACAAAAACATAAAATCCAGATTGCATAACATTTGTGGTTGACCCTTTAAACCCACGCACCTTGCTGACTGCTTGTAAAGCCTTCTTACACTCTTCGTATTGTGTGGAGTCTTTAGGTGTCTTCTGACAAATTGTCTGCAACACAGATAGTCAGGGATCAAATCAGTTATACTACTTTGTAATGGAATAAAGCAGCTGGCAACGGTGGCGCATGCAGATGTAGCAGCCGGTAGCTCCCACAGACTTCTCTACATTAATGACAAAAATACACTCATCAACATCAGAAAAGAAAGTGCGAGGATTGGAATAAGTGCAGCCTCTCTTGAGACGATCATCGGCCACAGAATCATCCGACCACTCAGCCGGCCCGGCCGTACAAAATGCCATCAGAAGCGGTGTGATCGACCTAGGGAACGGGGGACGAGAGCTGGGAAAAGCACTAAACAGCTTGGACCTACGGTTATTCCCAGCCTGCTCCTAGCTAAAGCCCGGTCGCTGGAAAATAAGATGGATGAAATAAGAATCAGGCTGACCCAGCAACCGGAGATCGGAGACTGTTGTGCACACATCTTTACAGAAATCTGGCTTCATGATAACATCCCGGATCAAGCTATTGCACTAGATGGGCAGACTGAATACCACGCCAACAGACTCCAATAGGAAGAGGGGCGGTGGACTGCGTCTTTTGATGATTGGTGATTGATGGACAATGTTCCCCGAATTTTGAATGCTAAGCCCACTCCTGTTCACGCTGTACACCCACAACTGCTACCCCAAACATGAAGAGAACTCTATTGTGAAGTTTGCAGATGACACTACTACCATCATCAGCTGGATAACAAACAACAATGAGACTCCATATAGAGAGGACATCAACATCCTTGCAGAGTGGTGCTCAGAGAACAACCTACTGCTCAACGCCAGTAAAACCAAGGGGCTGATTGTTGATTTAAGAAAAAAAAGGAGACAAAGATGCACAAAGCTCATAAATGGCTGTATTTCTTAAGTAAACTTAAGAAAGCAAAATTCCGTTGCCAAGGTCTTGTCAACTTTTACAAAGGAGCAATAGAAAGCATCCCGACTGCAGGAGGAGGGCTCTACAGTGGGTGATTACAAGCGCCCAGAACATCATTGGCACCCATCTACTGAGCATCGGTGAGAAGAGGGGCCTATCCCTAAGGGGATATTAAAAGACGAAACCCAGCGCAGCCACAACCTGTTCACCCTGCTGCCGTCTGGAAAGAGATACAGATTAATCAGCTGCCGAACCACCAGACTTCAAAACAGCTTCTTTCCTCTTGCTGTGATACTCCTTAATTCATCCACCACACTACATATATAATAGTTTTTTTTGTTGTCGTTTGTTTTCTTTCCTATGCAGCATATTGGGAATTCAATGTAAATTTCGTTGTGCAACCCTGATGTACAATGACAAATAAAAACCACTTGTAACCTTGTAATACTCTTGCACAAAAACACACAGAACAATAATTTGCAGCCATGCAAACCATCATCAAAACCCTGAAAAAATACTGATGCACAAAGAGAGCTGTGGGAAACAATGAATTAAAAACCAAACTTTCTCAGGATCCAAAAGCCTCTGAGTGTACAAGCATAAACCCCATAGTCCCTATGGAGACACTGAGGGAGGACGGGAGAGAGGGGGATGAACGTAGAGCAAGGGAGAGGTAGAGAGAGAGGGACAGTAGGGACAGAATAACATGGTACCAAAGAAAGCATGAAACTGAAGAAGAGGAAGAAAAAAAGCATTAAACAAAAGAGGAGAAGAGTAAATCAGTTAAAAGATTATCGAGGAATTATTTAGGGTCACACAAACATCTTTGAGGTCAGAACACACCCCATGTAGAATTAGTCATGGTAGTATGAATAAATAAACTGTTGCGCAAGAGTCAAAGTCTTGTTATTCCAAAGCTCATGCTACTTCATGTCTTCAATGCACTCACATCCATGAGTAGGGGGAGGCGCGTGATCCTCTGCATGGGCAGGATAAGGAAGGAGATCATGGGGAGGTTCCTGCAGTCTGGGTGGCTCTCTATCCTGGTCAGTACCTCCTTAAAAATGGGATTCTTGGACCTGCAAGAGAGGACAGAGGGAGTTTGGGTGTTCAGAAAGAGGAGTAAGTGATATAGAGAGAGAGAAAGAGGAAAAACAAGCGCAAACCCTCTTGGTTCACAGTGTCAGAACAGTCATGTTGGATCAAATCCATGAGAGATATGATAAGAACATCATTTGTGTAAGTCTGCTCGGTCACTCACACTAGCCTCTGCAGGGTTCTTTGCTGGTAGACCTCGTTGGAGCAATATGTGACAAAGGGATCGAAGTTGGACTGAGCATGCTTATCAACGATGTCGCTGATGTCGTCGATGACAATGTTCTGTTGGTGTCTCTCCTCCAATTCCTTAAAGAACCTGAGTACAGGATGAACAAAGGTTAGTTTGTTAGGGATTCATAGCGTACATGGCAACAGCTTGAGTCACAAGCATCAAATCAAGAGTCATCCCACACGGGGGAAAATATATGACACAATGACAGATATGAAGTCAGGAAGGCAGGAAGCAGAGACGACACCCTTCATCTAAACCCGCTGTGAGATCACAAAAGAGGAACTCCCCGCCTCTTAAAATAGACATAGCCTACCATTAACCATAACAGAGGTTTTTCCTCTTCCTGAGCTCCACCAGATGGCCCGTTTAACGGCACGCCACATGACCAACTTCAAGAGAATGAGTGTTTTTGCATGCACAATCCAAGGTGACAAACAGGAAGGTGTCGCACAGACACAGGACGCTGACCTTGACCAGTTGGACAGAGTTTGAGCTCATCTGCAAAAGCACCTCTAGTGCCCCCTCCCATCCCTACCTACTCCACACACTGTGCTATGACTATCTATGGGAAACAACCATGTAGCTTGTGTCCATGCCTGACGTACTCTCTGAACTATGACCTTTCTAACTAAGGAATGAGCCGACAGGATAACAGAGAACAAACGCATGTTGCTCTGTCTTCTGGCCCATGTCCTAAAGGTGTATTCAGGGCTTTAGCGGGTCAAAGCTGCTCAAGTTCAGGCCGGGCTCCTTCCTGGGGCAAAACTCACTCTCCCCCAAAACAGCATGTCGTCATGAGGGAAGAGGTCAAGGGAGAGGAGTTAAATCAGGGTGAGAAGAAAAAAAAAAAAAAAAAGGAAATGGCCAAAAATTAGGCTGCTAGCCAGTAATTATAGATGAAAAGGAAAGAGTTTTACCAGATACTGGTGAACATACTGAAAAATACAAATTTATCAGCCTCCCAGTCAGCTTGCCTCGGCGTTACAGCACGCTGCTGCAATTATAAAGTATGTTATGGCCATGAATGAGGTATGTCATATTGCGGGGCTGCAAGTGAAATACAATCAGTAAAACACCTGTATGTAAAATACTCAACATACTACACAGGAGCCTGCAGTTAGAGTAATATTTCTGCTATTTTCTTTAGAGAGGCTAAAGCAAGACTATCTGTTACAAGTAAAACATGTTGTTAAACTAGTGCTACTGGCCGACTTATATCTTAAGAGCTGCTGTCCCTCCGTCTCCATGCCCCCCCCTCTCTACTCCCTGGGGCCACGCAAGTCTCCTTACTTAGGTGGGGAGGGTAAAGTATCGCATTAATGTGGGTGGCCTGTGTATAGGAATGAGAAAGGGGAGTGAGATGGGCTGCAGCACATCTGAACACAGGGAGGAATTGTTGAGGAATTTACAGATACCACCATTCATGCAAAGTGGGAATGAGGTGTAAATAAATGTACAAAATAATGTCCATGTTCATCCACATCTGCTTAATAAGCTGCAGAAAGTGTATGATTTGTAGAAGCCGTTTTGCCTTCATGGTATATTGTATGCCATGAGGAAATCTCTCTGAGGCGGAGGGCTGCTATCCTCCTGACATGGAATCCTTTAACAAATGTCATGAACAGTTGCAGAGGGAGTGAATGCTCTCTGGGTAAACTTACGACCTAGGCAACACAAAGACTAAGGCTAGCTCAACCTCATTCCACGCTCAGATTTCGCTCACGTTTACTTGTTGGCAGTAAACGTGTGGCTATGGGAATGTGAAAAGAGTGTAAACCTTGGACTAATTGGGGAATCTTTAGTCCTTAAAGCAGGATTGTTGAATGATACGAGACCGCTGCCACGATCAACAGTGATTTCAGACCAGCATATTAGGCTGACTGACATGGACGTCACACATTAAACAGTCATATTATAGTTGCACTTCAGGCCATTATCATACTGAATAGTAATCTTATAAAAAAACATAATGAGGAATGATACCACAGTTAAAAGCACAGTCACATATGAGCCTAACAAAGAACATGTGGGCTCAGAAGCTCTTCCGTCAATCATTTGTAGAAGTAGCCCCGTACAGCGCAGTAATTGCTGAGGCAGCACAGTTTTCACCAGTCTCAACTTTCACGGCCTCTCATGCATGAGTGTTTCAGTTCATGGGACCATTGGAAGTTCATGGTTACATTGGCCATGAATGTCAAATCATGATGGATGGGTAAACTCAGAGGGCTCACAGCAGCAAATTTCGGCCATTGCAATTTTTTTTTTTTTTATACGCTCGCCTAAAAATACTGGCAAAAACTGGCACATGCAGTCTACTTGTGAGCTTGCTCAAACAGCAAGGAATTCACTCAATTTGCCCCCCCAACATGTGACCACACATACACACAGTAACCTACAATCCCTTAGACACAACTGAAAACAACTCTGGCGGAATCTATATATATATAAAAAAAATATATTAAAAAAAAAAAAATATATATATACAGTAAACAGTGGTAACAGACACACACCCCTCATGGAATGAGTGCGGTCTACCAAGTGCTGTCAAATAAGAAAATCATCCAACTCATTCACAAAACCACAAACACTGATAGACGTTTGGGAACATGCAAGAGCAGCATAAAACAACCAACACTTATCATAAGTCCTCGACACCAAAAAAAGTTCTAGAAACATACACCGAGTGAAGCAAACATGACAACACAAAGCAAGAATACATCAGATGATCTACAAAAGCAACACAACCGCACACTTACTTTTTGCTAGCCTCACAGACGTCGGCGATGTTGGAGAAGAGGTGGTGGTGTTCGGTCTTGGTCATGGCCTCGCTGAGCTCCGCGGAGTTCTTGAACATGCGGATCAGGATCTCCAGACTGTGGAGGTAAGAGTGCTCCGACGAGATCACCTCAAAAATGGCCTATTGAGGAGCAGGAGAGAGCAACAGGTAGGAAACAAAAAAAGACTCATGTTTTTATTTCCACAACAGTTTGATACATCCATTAGTGACGTTGCTTGCTTCAGTTACCTCACTAGGTCCTGACTCACTCACTGCTTTATGAGATGGGCTCAGTCACCAACATGCTTGAAATACCTGTGCTCTACAATTATGCTGGTATGCGCATGAACAATTCCATACCGATGTGATCACCAATCTGTCACTGAATTTCATGTTTATACTCATTCGTCTTGTCATTCTTAATACGACGTAAATATTTAGTGCATCCGTCGTCCTCCCATTTACAAAGCATCTGCTTTCATGATATGATAGTCCATGATGCGTGTGTTTTAATGTGCTCTTTTAATGGGTATTTAATTGGTCTGGAGTTTACAGAGACCAAATGGACAGCTATACTCCCCCAGGTGCTTAGCAACTCTTAACTAAGCATGCAAGTAGCCTAAAATTGTATTTTTCTCACTCTGAACCCAAGCGTCAAAGTGTAAAACATGATTCCTACCTCTTGTCTTTTGCGTTCCTCCTGATTCATCCGGTCAGAAAGACCACTTTTCTTCACCTAAACAGAGGGGGGAAAAAAATCATGAAAAGATTTCAAATACAAAATCACACTTGTTTGACTACTCTGGGTTTTTTTTCAGGTCAGCTGCCCTTAAAATATTGTGCTATTAAAATATTCAGCCTGTGGCTGAAGGTAAGGTCGAGTAAAAAGCATGCCTCTGTATCCTGTTCCACCAAATACAACCACTATGACCTGGGGCACGTTCACATTATTATACCAGATCACACGTATAGGCAGATATACAAAGAGGCCATCTTTCCACTAGCTTCTCATACGGTTTTGAACAAACAAACCCACAGCAGACCAAACGTCTTTTGTGGTTCTTTCTTTGGACTCCTTTCACACATACATCAGATTCCCTTCTATCAAACCTTCAACACCATATCAGCAAAATCAGCTTTCAATATAAGGTTAGGTTTTAATGAGCGAGCAACCATGCACCCTGTCATGCCAACTGAACTTTGCCCTGTTCTGCAGTTTCCCTGGGTGTGACTGAAACACAATCAAAATACGCATGTTGACAACTTGTGCAGCTGGTTCTCGGTTCGACTGGAACTAAACTTATTTCCTGACACAATAGGAAAATAAAAGTGTCATGCCAGCATTTTATTCAGAATGTAAAGGATCCCGCAGCGTTACATCATGTATTGTCTGGCCAGACAAATACACGGCAACAGACCCACAGCTGTAAAGCAGTGTGGTCTGGTCAGCTATGTAACGTTGAACCATTTCTCCCCTCTGTCTTACTCGTATACACAAGAACAAAAACGATGCAACATGTTCTGAATTTTTTTGACTTCAAATCCAATCTCCCATTTATTGGAGTCCGAGTGTATATCATTCTCTGCTCAGCAATTTCAGAACTAATCTTAATTGCCTCCTTCTACGCCCTCGCCTGTTTTCGCTCCCACACTTTCCCTCCTCAACAAGTAAACAAACAGATGGGAATGCCTAAGTAGAAAACTAAATTATCTTATCCTTCTCCTCTGTATTCCTCTATCCTTCCAGTCCGATCCCAAACTATATTGCGTGATGTAGAGCCACCGTACTTCTGTCGAGGCAACATTTTAAGCATATTTGCAGTCTGACGAATGTGTAGCGTTTGCCGACACACTGGCATTAGGCCCACCAGTGCTTGCAAGACTTCCTGTGGGTCTGGCTGACTGTCTGCCTCCCTGCCAGCCTCAAGTCCTCAAAGAAATGCTCCTGCACTCCCTGATAAACAGAGTGAGCAGCAGAGGAAGGCAGAAGCAGTGGGAGGATGGTTATGGACTGTGGCCAAACTGGATATGACGGCATTCTTCGGAGCACTAGAATTCCAAGACTCCATAGCCAAAGCACTTAGTGCATACTGTACGTTTGTCTACGTACTGAATGCAGAGAACGAGTGAGAACCATATGAGAAGAATGGAAGCTACCACAAGTGTGCATGTGTCTGTGTGTGTGTGTGTTATGTCTGACCACGCTGAGTTGGCTCCAGGAGGTGCGTATAGGTCTGTACTGCACCACGATGCCGTTATCGGGTTTGGGTTCTCTGGAGTCGGCATCCTCATCTGAGTCATTATGCAAGGCCTTCTCCTGGTAGTTCTGGTACAGCTCCTCCTCTGAAACAGACATTTTTTTGGGGACAGAAAAGATCCATCATGTTGACGTTTTAAAAAAGGACGATGTGTTTCGGTTGAGAGAGACAGAAAGGCAAAAAAAAAAAATACATTAAAAGTAGTAAAATGAAGGGTTTTCTCACCCTCGCTGTCAAACGTCCGCTGATGGGTTAAAACTTTCTTCTTGTCTGCACTCTAAGGAAAAAAGCAACACAATTGTCATGACTTGGACAAACTGAGGGGCGGAGGAGGCACACACACACACACACACACACACACACACACACACACACACACAC